GTCGAACCAGACATGATGTTTCGTACTTTCAATTGGTATGTTTGGTTATGTAGGCGAAAATGGAAAGTGTTTATTAGCCTTTTTGACCATGCTAACAAGGTGATCTTGAACATGGATGGATGACCCGGAGAGGCAAATTCGATGGCATATCTTGTGCAACGTAGGAGAATCGGGATTGAGTTTATTAAAAAAATTCAGGGGGAATCAATTTTTTTGAGGAAATCAACGTTTTTCCTTTTGACCGTTTCACGGTGAACAGTTTGAGTCGACTGTTGCAGTGGTATCGGAATGGTATTGGTGGTACCCTCTCTGAAGGCTGATGCTGTGTTGCAACGATTGACAGAAAAGGGCGACGGTGCTGTGCGTATAGGATCTGTCGTTGAAAGACGAGGAAGTGAGCAGACCTTTTCAATTGCACAATTGTTGCATCAGACATAGTCGTTTCCTGCATCTTTAGTTGATGATTTACTCTTTATCTTTTGTACTAATTAACTTTACTGCGGAGGAGGCTATCCAGTTCCTGTGAGCCTTGTTGAGGAGATATCATGGGAAGTAACCCTAACATACCCTAGTGATAGCACTAATTTTCGACGGATGGATTTCGATTGCAACACTAAAAAAAGCACGAAGTCGAGCCAAGTTATACCAGAATAGCTTTCAGCTTTACCGTTCAATGCCAACAGTGGCTGCCATCTCATCATGTTGCACGTGTGAGTGTTGATAAGCCAGAGCTCAAAAATTACATTGCCAGTGAAAGCACGGTGTCGCTAGCACCTTCACTACAACTCAAGCTCTCGCGTCTGTCAAGGCACTCGGCATTATCTGAAGCGCCTGAAGGAGCACTTGGCTATGTCGAGTTAAGTTTGGGGCGGGGAACGGGAGCATAGAACAAGATCAATGAAGCAAAAATAACTCCACTGGATCATCGCTAACAGGGAGTGGTTAATGCGTCGGAACGGGCAAATGAAGAAGAAAACGAATGAGGGTGAATCCGTTGACTTTTTCGACAAAATACAACTACAAATCAATGCTGAAGGGTTCGCTCCGGTTCCCATTTATACGTACCTCCCTTCCCGCTTTCCTTTCCTTGAAATTCAAAGGGAGGTGGTCCTGTCACTGTCATGCGAGACATGTTACCGATCCAGCTCTTATCCACTGCCATTTATGCTACCCTTCATCAATATCCTTCTCATATCATCATTAGCATCTGCCAGTCTGCACTCCCTTTTTCGAAGCTCAACATGTCCTATGCCGTTTCACCCTTACGGATCTTATGAGTTTTAGCCCTTTACTACTGCAGCCTTCAATTTCACGCCACCTGCTACTCCGACCTGTACGGTATGACACACTTTAATGATGGTAGCTGGTAGATGGTGGCTGCTCCCCGTTTTACGGTAGGGAGCAGGAGTTTCACCATTGTGGGTCACACAAACAAGGTCAGCCATACAGAGCGAGAGCCGTCTTCTTTCTGTCTTATAATTAGTCAAACAAACTCGAGCAATGAGTAGTCACAGCTACTGCAGAGCAAAAACAACTTCCAATTTTTGATTGTCGTTTGATTCGGCAAAAGCTCAAATATGGTCGGGCGACTAATTTATGGCTGACTAGCGCATCAGTCAGGCCTTTTTTCAAAAACTTTACAATTGCTGGTATTGCTACATTTCATACGAAGTGAGTGTGCATCACGAAATCGAATTTTTTGCAGCTTCTCCCATAATTTTTATGAATCTGTCGACAGCATTCACCTGCGAGTACTTGCAGCCTCCGAAGCCGAAAATAAAGGCGAGTTTACCCTTGTGTTTCGTTTGCCTTGTTTGCCGTTATACCACTGATTTCAATCGGGCGAGCTCATTAAAAATGATCCGTGATATGTTCCGTCATCCTTGCAGAATGTCAACATCGCCAATGGGTTCGGACCTGAGATGATGTTAATTGAAAAGAGTTATCAGCAAAGTGTGAAGGGGCATATACACAACAGCACTCACTAATCTCCCCATTTTTCAGAAATTATATATATATATATATTTATTTATTTATTACATGACGTGTGGCATAATCAGTTAGTGAAAAAAGAAAAACACAAACTCCAGGAACAAAAGCACTTAGTAACCACACTTATGTAAGAGGTAGTTAAAAAAAAGCGTAGGGGAGGTTGATCTCAATAAAAATAAAACTGCAAGAAACGAGAAAGTCATCATGGCTCTAGATACTCATTAAGATATTTTTTGAAACTCGAGAGACTGACAGGTATGCTTTTCTTTTTGCTAAGGGCGAAATAAAGGGGGTGAACGCGATTAACGAAGAAGTGCGAACGGCAGTTCAGTCGAGATTTGGAAAGAACCAGTTTGAACGGACCATTTCTGGTAGTGGAAGCTCTGGTGGTGTAAAAGGTACTAGGGTGAAGGCAGTGAGATCCCGTGAGAACCTTGTGGAAGGTTAGGAGGTCGAACTTTTTCCTACGCCAGCAAAGTGAACGGAGGCCGAAATTGGCATTTCGCTCTGCAGCAGAGGGAATGCTGTCGTACATAAATTCAACCACCCTGATCATCAGTTTCCCCGTGAAACTGCTTTGAACTTTTTTCAATTTTGTCGATAATTTTGCGTTTGTGTGGGCTAAACACAACAGTGCCGTACTCTACCAGAGGCCTTACATAGGCCTTGAAGGCTTGAAGCAGTACAGAGGGATTCCTAGTAGTCGGGGCACTGAATAGTCTTTGAACGGCATTGAGCCCTTCACCGGCAATCATCTCACAATGACTATTAAAAGAGAGATCCGGTTTGACCATAAATCCTAAATCAACAACCCCATCGACGGTTCCAATACCATTGCCGTCAATACGGTAC